ATCAAGATGAAAAACAAAATTGCATGTTGTGAAAATAATTAATTTAGATGGAATACTTTTGGCACTTTTCTTGCTTTTGGAAATTGCTCTGCAAGCTCTTCATAATCATCACTTATTTACATTTCAAAGAAAGCTGAACACTGGTGTTTTGTTCTTTATTTCACTAGGATGAGAACTAGAATCCAAAAGCCAAAGAAAATTTTTTTTCAAAAACAGCAATATCTGAGCAAAGGGTGAAAATTTAAAAAAACTTCACTACTAGGAAATTTAGATTTCTTATGTCTGTTTCTGACTTGTATTTATTAAAAGAATTATCCTCTTTAATAAGTCCCTTTTAAACACTATGTTTCTAATAATCTGGTGTATTCTGATAATGAATACTCCTAATTGTATTATAGTAGTAAATATTTTTGTTCTGCTGTTTGCTTTAATAAAACTAATTTACTAAAATGTATAAATTGTGTCATTTAACAAGTGGTGCTGGGAAAACTGGTCAACCACCTGTAAATGAATGAAACTAGAACACTTTCTAACACCATACACAAAAATAAACTCAAAATGGATTAAAGATCTAAATGTAAGACCAGAAACTATAAAACTCCTAGAGGAGAACATAGGCAAAACACTCTCCGACATAAATCACAGCAGGATCCTCTATGACCCACATCCCAGAATTTTAGAAATAAAAGCAAAAATAAACAAATGGGACCTAATGAAACTTAAAAGCTTTTGCACAACAAAGGAAACTATAAGCAAGGTGAAAAGACAGCCCTCAGATTGGGAGAAAATAATAGCAAACGAAGCAACAGACAAAGGATTAATCTCAAAAATATACAAGCAACTCCTCCAGCTCAACTCCAGAAAAATAAATGACCCAATCAAAAAATGGGGCAAAGAACTGAACAGACATTTCTCCAAGGAAGACATACAGATGGCTAACAAACACATGAAAAGATGCTCAACATCACTCATTATCAGAGAAATGCAAATCAAAACCACAATGAGGTACCATTACACACCAGTCAGGATGGCTGCTATCCAAAAGTCTACAAGCAATAAATGTTGGAGAGGGTGTGGAGAAAAGGGAACCCTCTTACACTGTTGGTGGGAATGCAAATTAGTACAGCCACTATGGAAAACAGTGTGGAGATTTCTTAAAAAGCTGGAAATAGAACTGCCATATGACCCAGCAATCCCACTTCTGGTCATACACACCGAGGAAACCAGATCTGAAAGAGACACGTGCACCCCAATGTTCATCGCAGCACTGTTTATAATAGCCAGGACATGGAAGCAACCTAGATGCCCATCAGCAGACGAATGGATGAGGAAGCTGTGGTACATATACACCATGGAATATTACTCAGCCATTAAAAAGAATTCATTTGAATCAGTTCTAATGAGATGGATGAAACTGGAGCCCATTATACAGAGCGAAGTAAGCCAGAAAGATAAAGACCAATACAGTATACCAACACATATATATGGAATTTAGAAAGATGGTAACGATAACCCTATATGCAAAACAGAAAAAGAGACTCCGATGTATAGAACAGACTTGTGGACTCTGGGAGAAGGCGAGGGTGGGATGTTTCAAGAGAACAGCATCGAAACACGTATATTATCTAGGGTGAAACAGATCACCAGCCCAGGTTGGGTGCATGAGACAAGTGCTCGGGCCTGGTGCACTGGGAAGACCCAGAGGGATCGGGTGGAGAGGGAGGTGGGAGGGGGGACCGGGATGGGGAATACATGTAAATCCATGGCTAATTCATTTCAATGTATGACAAAACCCACTGCAATGATGTAAAGTAATTAGCCTCCAACTAATAAAAATAAATGAAAAAAATAAAAAATAAAAAAAAAATAAAATGTATAAATTGTGTCAAAGTAAAAACTTCAATCACATCTGTGGGTTTGCAATAATAGTCTAAGAAAGTGCTATAAATGTTTATAATAATACTTCACTGATAAATTTTTACTAGTAATAGCAATAAGAAGTTTCATATATTACTAACAGAAATGTAACTAGGTACAACTATGTCAGAAAACTTGCAGTATCTACTGAAGCTAGACATACTCATATCCATCCAATATTACAGCAATTCTTTGCCCAGTGAAACTCTTGGACCCAACTCACATGGTCCCCAAAATGCACGTATTCACAGGTATTCACCAAAAAAGGCAAGCTCAAGGAGGGTCATAGCAGCACTAACCAAAAACTTTTTTAAAATACCCAAATATTCCTCAGTAGGACAAGGGATAAATTGCTATGTCTTCATATAATGGAATATGCTGGGCTGGGCTTAGTAAGTCCGTCGTGTTCAACTCTTTGCAGCCCCATGCACTGTAGCCCACCAGGATCCCATGAGGATTCTTCAGGCAAAAATACTGGAGTGGGTTGCCATGCCCTCCTCCAGGGGATCTTCCTCATCCAGGATCGCACCCAGGTCTCCTGCATTGCAGGCAGATTCTTTAAAACCATTTGAGCCACCAGGGAAGACCAAGAATACTGGGGTGGGTAGCCTATTTCTTCTCCAGCAGATCTTCCCTACCCAGGAATTGAACCAGAGTCTCCTGCATTGCAGGCAGATTCTTCACCAGTTGAGCTACCAGGGAACCCCTGACATAATGGAATACCATACAGAAGTGAAAATAAGTTATTGCTACATGCTACAACATAGCTAAAACACATACAATTCATAAAATAAAGCAGACCCAAATAAGTATTTATAGAAAGTTCAAGAGCAGGAAAAAATGTTATTGTTGCATAAGTCAGGATAGAGATTATCTTCAGGCAAAGTAATGCTTAGGAAGGGATATGGTGGTAAGAGGGAGCAGGGTGAATGCTTCTGTGATACTGAGAATTCTGCTTCTTAATCCAGGGTCTCTTTACATGGGGGCGTCAGGTTTGTGCCACTTTATATGGAAGGTGGCTATTTTTGTACTTTTCTGTGTGTATTTATAATCTCAGTTTAAAAGATTTTAAACTAAACCTATAAAAAAACACGTCTACTAGTATGCCATTTAATTATAACTATCTATGGTTTCTGGTTGGTGTTCTTACTTCCAAATTTCCCTGGAAATAGTATTTTTAAATTAAAAAGATATATTTGTGAACTTAAAACAATACTTGTTTGAATTTATTTTTCCTTTACATGTTTTCCTTTTTTGCTCAATACCTCACAAATAGGCTCACTGAGCAGGGTTTCTGTAAAGAAACTGTATTTTATAAGATATTTCCAGTAGAGGGAGCTTCATTTTCAAAAGGAAATTTCTACAGGAAATTTTCCTTCAAGGACCATCACTGAAAAATTAAAATATTTGATTTTTTTATGTATGATTAAAAATTCTTCAGAGTGATGAGCTACTTTTATCTAAGAGAAAAAAGAGAAAATCTTTATTTGATTTGTGAAAGAAAAAGAAAATGATGAAGAATATATGTATTGCACAAATTTCTATACTGGCTATGTCTTTTTTGAGTGATTACATTTCTGAACTATTCATAAGAAGGATTTTAAACTAAATTATTTAATATTAATTAACATGAATTCTTTCTAAGAATATATTATAGCAAATACCATGGTGATTTTCTATTATACAAATTTGACCTCATCGATCAAAATATTTTAGTTATCAACATTAAACTTCCTAAATCTAAGTATCAACTAAGCTCTTCTGATTTCTTTGAGAAAATAAGTATGCATATTATCATCTAAGATGCTAACAGATAATTATAATAAAATAATCAACTTATGACATGAATTTTGCACTTTTCCATAAAATTTACATAAATGTAAAAGCTCTACATTCTTTTCTTTTATCACTACATATGAAATTTGTACCAGTTGTAAAGTTACAAAAATTTACTACATTAAAATATTTTTCACTGAAAACATTCTGATTTACAATGGTTCAACCCTTTACTTCAGGAAAAATCAGTAATTTCAGAAATATAGTAGCCTTCACAATTAGTTCCTGGTTACTAAAGGTAGTTTTTATGAGATATGCTATATTTTTCAAGGTGCCTAAAGATGAAAAATTGACATAGCAACCCAGAGAGAATATTTACATACATCAAATGGAAATCATTATACACATAACTTAGTACTCAAATTTTTTATTTCAATCTTTTTGAAAAGCTTGTGAACCATAAAATGGAAATTTTAAGGTAATTATAATAGTAAAATAAAGTTTGCATTGGCTTATATATTGTTTCACTGAGAATGGGGTTAAATTAACTGATCTTGTGCTTAGCGTGTCTTCTCTTTTAGTTAAAAAGAAAAACAAGGAAAAAGAGAAGAGCCTACCAAATGTGACTGGAGATGATAAGAAAACAGCACGTCATAGAACAATTTTACTGTTCAATAGGCTTCTTATTACTTTCTACAAAATGATTTTTCTTGGCATAGAACATACCTAATGATTTATTTATCACTTTGCCTCCATGAAATAAGTTCTTTAGAAAACAGTACTCTCAAGGCCTTTATTATTTTATTCATTTAAAATTAACCTCTGGATAAATAAATAATATTTAGAATTTCTCTGATCACTAAACGCTTATATTCTAGATATTTTTTGTCTTCTAAAATGTAAGTAATGTTCCACTTCTAATTACTAAATGTTTTTAACTTTCAAAACAAGGGTAACACCCAGAATTTATAATTCACTTAGGAAAAAAGAAACTATAAATGCAATCTGAGAAGGAAAATCCTAGGCTTTGGAAATATTTTTTTTTCCCTAGGGTAACCTCAGTTGCAAATAACAGAAGATGCCAGTTAATAAAATACATTAATTAGTGAAAATAACGCAAAGTTACATATTTTAGAGGTCTCAAGAGACAAACTGCTAGATAGAAAACAGATTGTTAGATAGAAAACAATACTATTTAAGGGACACTTTCAACAAGTCAACCTCGAGTTGCATTCGTGGTTACATCAATGACAAGTGGTTGTAAGGCTTGAATGAGTTCTCCAACTGTTAAATACAAATGGACTCACCTGAGTAGCAGTGCTGCTTCCCAGAAGTAAAATCCCGAAACTAAAGTCCGAAAGTGTCTCACGTAGGCCATGATACGGAGGGATATATTCACGGCTCTGCAATGAGTCTTATCCAAGGCATGGGGAAGCCGTGAATGAGCCGGGAATGAGAGTGTGCCGCCTGACTCCGTGTCGTGTTGGCAGAGACCAACGACTGGAAAGCTTCAGCACCTGAGACAGCTCCCCGCGGTCCAAGGAGACCCTCTCTTTCAAACTCTTGAAATTCCCTTTCGACACCTTCTCTGAGCATTGAGCTGCGGGGAGATTCACGGGATTACAAACGTGCAGGTGATTTATACAGTGACCGCGGAATAACGGATGAAATGAGATGTCTGAGGTGCCTAGGTTCTGGGCAGCAGTTCACTGGAGCTCTAGCGGCAAAGGGAGGAAGCTAGTCCTTTCCTGACTCAGACTCACGACTGGAGGAGAAAAAACAGCAACTGCGGGAACAGGAATGCGTCTGCACCTGCTCCAAGCGCCGCCCGCTGGAATCCCACTTTCCACCTTTGGGTAAATCCCGAGCCACTAGCGCGGCAAAGGGAAGCGGGGGCGGGGCCAAACGACACCGCGTTGCCAGCCAATCACAACTGCACAGCGGGGCAGAGTGACGGGCCACTCACGACGGAAGGCGGTGCTTAGCTAGCCGGACTTCAAAAAAAGCGTTGAGTAACTGGTGCAGAGCCTAAAGCGCGACTGGAGGGAATTGGGGGAGGGAATCCTCAGCGCTGAGAACTGGGGGAGCCTCTATGGATTAAGCAGCAGAATCGCACTTAGAGGGACCCTCCATTGTTGCCTTCCGGCAGAAGGCACACTTTAGTAATAAAAGGTCTTTTCGGAAGTGACCGTCTCTTTGACCTTACATCAAAATGCAAGAGTCAGCAGTGAACCCAGACCCTTGGAAAGGGCTAAGGAAGAGCAGAGAACGTGGTGCGGAATCAGTTGCTTCTAGAATCATCTCACAACCCTGGCCAGCTTCTGGCAGAGAAGCGTTGCTGACTTGTCAGTTGACTTTCATTCACTCACAATAAGGGTCCAAAAAAGGTGAAGGTGGGAAATCTAAAGAGATGGCTACTAGTGGGGAACAATGCTACACACCATTTTTCTTATGCCTTTTCCATGTCTAAACATTGTGAGAGGGACAACTAGGTCATACAGTACATCTTTTCTTGTCTTATCTTTCTCCTCCCTCTCCCCTCCATGACTATTTATATAGGAACTTGGATTGGAAGACTGGAAGGGGAAAGAATGTGTGTGTGTGTGTGTGTGTCCAAGTGTGTACGTGTGTGCAACCGTGCACATGTTTCTAGGTTTGTTCATGCGTCTCAAAATGATGGGATTTTTAATAATTAAAACATGCTGTTAGAACCTTACAGTGGCTTTTATTTACTATCAACTAGGGTCAAAATATTCACCCCTTGAATCTTAACTTTTTCCCAATACCCCCTCAGGTATTTATTCTGAAAGCCCTACTTTAATCTCTTATCTTTCTCAATGACTAAACTATACTCCAAGAATGTTTTCTTCTTTCTCACAAACCTTTTCTTCTCAGTTAAATCCAACAACAATGGATGTATCAATTATCCCATAATTCTCTATTTAACTGGAAAACTATGTCACCACCTTTTAACCCTCTCAAATGGGGGCACCATGAAAAAAAGTCTTTACTCTTTAGTAGACAAGCTTATTTATATTCAGTATAAGTAAATTTTGGATTTATTTCTATATGTTATCTAAACCTGTCTCTGTTCACATTTGGTTTTCTGAAAAAAAATCTCAAAACTTCCAGAAGCTTCTTAGGGAATATCATTGATTTGGCCTATGGATGTTTCCATCTTGAGAAGTTTCAGATTATTTTATTCAACTAGTTTTTCAGTGAATCTTTTGAAAGTTAAGTGCAAATACTGTTTAGTTGGTCGTTTTTGAATAGCAGTAATCATTTCAAAAACCAGAACCAAAAAAACAAACCTTACTGTCTTTCAAGAGGATCTGGGTTCCTTGCATTGCTTCATCACTATCTTTTGAAAAGTAATATATCTTTTAAAATACCTTTACTTAATATGCCTTTGAAAATAAATTGAGGGAATTGAATTAAAGAACCTTTGAGTTTCATTCCCTGGCCCAAAAGACAGAGCCAACGAATGTTTAAGTGAACAAATTAATGGATAATATTTACAGTTCTGTTTACATTAATCTGGACAGTTATGTTACATGATAGTTTAAAGGCAGGATAGTTTGCTATTTCATCTCATCATTAACATGAAAACACTGGAATGCTATACTTTGTCAAATTAACATATATGTAGTGAATCAGCTTATTGGATATAATGTCATATAAGAAGGTGGCTAGAATCCCCATATTACTTGTTTTTCATATCATCGTGATTACTTCCTTCAAATTACTTATAACAATCTATTGTTTCCCTCATTCATTTGTTTGGTTTTTGCACCAGAGTGAAGTAATGGCTGTTATTTAGCATAGCAAATAGCATATAGTTGATAAGCAATGTTTGTTAAATGTATCCATGATCATATTAGAAACATGATACTTTTAATTAGTAAGCAAATAAGCTTGTTACAGTGCATTGGTTAGTAGATTATTTGATTAAATAATTAGAAATGAATCAAAGTGGGTTGTAGTACCTTGCTTAACGTTTGATGATTAATTTACCAGTTATTTAGCAATTCCACTTATTGCCTATGGATTTTTATATCATTTTTCCTTAATTTATATAAAGTCAAAATAAATTTTATACAACTGCATATGTGATAGCCATTCTTGTAAATTTTACTCTTTTGAGACTAGTAGTCCTGATTTTATGGGTAAGTGAAAGAGTATGTTTGTGAGGGAAAAGAAAAAGCATTTCATGGCTGATGAGTAACTGACCAGCCCATTCACGTAAAATTCAGCTGGATTCTGATATGGCCAAGTCTCTGCTCTTCTGCTTCAAGTCTTTATTATTTCCTTCTTGCACTAATAGATTTTATTTCACATTGGACAAGACATGGGACTTTTTGAACTAAATGAGATATTAATCATCATATTTAATATCTTCCTTTTACAGGAAGTAATTATAGCCCAAAGTGATGGTTACAAACCTTTGTACTCAGCAAGATGACAGTATCAAACTTGAATTTGGTGCTTCTGGCTCATTGTCCACTATTTTGCATACTATCACAGAGCTATCTTTAACGTTGTATTTTCACTACTGTGTCAAGATATAAGCATATTACCTAAACTACAGAAAAGTAGATCAATTTAGATATAAAGATAAAGCTTTTTTCATATGCTCATTTGTTACTACCAATGAGCTAAAACATACATAATATTTTGTACATATTGCTAAAATGACCTATTTAATGAAAACTTTATTTTTTGAATAAATGATAAATATTTTTTCAATGTAGTATGGGGTTAAAAGCATTTACTGAGAGTTTATCAGATTCAGTAGCATTAGGTAATTCTAGCCATCTCATCAAAAGCTTGTGTATGAGTGAAATGTCAGTTTTTAAACTTATAAAAAGCAATGCCACTTTTAGAATAATTAGAACAATCATTTCTTTGAATTAACACTCTTTGGGAAGATTAAAAAAGTCTTAATTTTAAAAGTCAATCAGAAAGTCACTTGTTTAATACAAATTAAGTAAAGGAAAATTAATCTTAAGTGGTGATAGATATCACCTCAAAGTATGTGTGTCTAGTGAATTTATCTTTGCATAGAGATCTACCTACTGAACAGACTAATTGTGACTAGCTAGCTGATCAAATGACCCTTTTTTTCCTGAAATAGTGATAGAAATATCCAATGACTTATATCCATTTTTTTGAACAGTCCACAAGTTTCTTTCACATAGATCTCAGCAACAGTCTCCAAATAGTTTCTCTGGTTTGATCTCTTAGTTCCCTTGATTAACCCTCCATTGTAAATATTAAGGGATTTTTGTTTGTGCTTTGTTAATTTTACTAAGTCAAATGATGCTCCTTTCTATTCCTAAAACACTGCAATGCCTTTCCATTACAACAGATTGAAATCCACATTCCTCTTCACAGCTGGTTCTAAAAGACTGACAATCTCCTCAGCCTCACTGTTCACTGGTGCCCCTTTCCCCCATAATGCACTAGTCACATGAGCCATTTCTTATCTCACCACTTCTCTACTTAAAACTTCTTCCTTTGGACTTCCTATGTCCAGTCTCTTTCTAGCCATTAACTCATGGTTGAAATATCTCTCTTTCTCTCTCCTTTCAATAAAATTTCCCCCATTCACTTTTATATCAGGATTTATTTCCTTCACAGATCAAATAATAATTTGTCTTTGTTTACTTCTGAAAGATGGAGAACTTGTATCTTTATGCCTGGCACATGTCTGGCAGATATTAAATGATCAAGAAATATTTGTTGAATGAATGAACAAAGGCAGACACTTTCTCTGATCCTTAGTTCTTTCTTTTCTAGATGTCATTCCTACTAATCTCTTTTAACCTATTTTTTTTCCATAAAATTGTTTAGATTGCACTGCCAGACATACTCTTTGGCCATGTAAAAGTAACCTTTGAGTTTATATGTGTGTCCCTGATTCACTCTGAGAGTGACTTATTTATGAATAAGACAATACATCAAACTGTATTATGATATTTACTTTTTTAACTCTCATACTGTCATCTTTTCTCCAAAGTATAGTGATATTTGCCATAATCCCCTCAGCTCACTTCAGTCAGTCAGTCGTGTATGACTCCTTGCGACCCCAGGAATCAGAGCATTCCAGGCCTCCCTGTCCATCACCAACACCCGGAGTCTACCCAAACCCATGTCCATCAGTCGGTGATGCCGTCCAGTCATTTCATCCTCTGTCGCCCCCTTCTGCTTCTGCCCTCAATCCTTCCCAGGATTAGGGGCTTTTCCAATGAGTCAACTCTTCACATGAGGTGACCAAAATATTGGAGTTTCAGCTTCAACATCAGTCCTTCCAATGAACATCCAGGACTATTCTCCTTTAGGATGGACTGGTTGGATTTTCCCACAGTCCAAGGGATT